GTAGGTTTTATAATATATTGTCACGAAAGCAGGAAAGTATTTGGGTCAAAATGTATTGCAAGCACGAAAAAACTACTCATCATGTAGGGCACGAACCCTTTATTATATATTGTTTCATCACTTATGCGCTCCTACAGCTATTAAAGATATTAAACTTATTATCTATCGTATATACTTTTAATGTTCTATACTACTTAAAGCCCCTATATATCATATATCCTTTTACTTATGGTTTTCCCTTAAAGTCCTTATTACCGCTATTGCCCTTATATCTTCTAAACGACTTTTACGACCGATAATCCCGGGGAAACCCATTTTAGGTAGATGATCGACATAGCCGTTAATTGCATTACTGCGCCACATCGATCATCCCTGCCACGTGCTCCCGGGAGCACGTTTCCCCTGCTCACAATATCAAGGAATTGATCGTCGTACCCGTTCTCACGTGAGGTCCTGGCAGAGTATTTACGTCACGTTATTGGGCCTCACACTATTATGATGAACTCATACGTTTTATTGATTTTAAACTTCAAAGGAAGTTACTTGCTTGTGTAATCCGGTTCAATTTTGGATAAATGAAATGTTGCTTGCTATTAGCAATGTTGATCTCCTATTTCATCTCAATAGGGATGAAACAGGAAGGTGAATATACTTTATACCTTTTATTGTATATTCGAATTATTGAAACATGTTAAAAAGAAAAATAATATGATTTGTGCCAAGTGGAACAGATTGTATGTTCAGAATGGTGCATCACATTTTGATTCAAAAACAGTAAGCAATGACCTCGCAGTTTTTTGATTGACTTTATAAATTGCACTTTCTGAGTTTATGTATCATGTTGGATTTAGTCTTTATCCATTATTTCCACCAGCTATTGGCGAAGTAAATATGGATTTGAAGCATATAACAAGTTTAGAATTAAAGTCTACACCTGATGTTCTCTTACTTTCTTACAAATTGAAATATTTTACTAAAGTAAGTTGTTTTCGTTCTTACATATTATTTAACCATTTAATAATAAGACTAATCACGAAATTTTTTAGATTGTTGATCAAGTTGTTTGTATTAATCCTGAGCCATGCGGGCGGAACATATGCCAAAATGACCATTCATCCGTTTCCACGGAACTTAGAGCAAGAGATTGAGAGGGAAAAACTTGTTTATCAAAGAACAAGAGTAGTTATAATAAGTGATTGTGCAACCGGTCATTATCCTCCAATTAAATTTGCGGAAACCACGCTGACTAATGAAACTCTCGGCATAGTGAAATTTTTAAAAAATTTCTTTTAATGGAACGGATTATTTCACTGTAACGATGGTGATTTGTAATAAACAAGTCAAATCCCTAATTTCAGAGACTTCTGGTTGCTAATAAATGGTAAAATATATACCAAACTTTGTGTACAATGTGAAATTAAAAAAAATATCGAATCCAGTTATAAGCAGTGTTGGCCGATGACCTATGTCATAATATTTTTTTCCTATATGACTTGATCATATAATCATATGACTTTTTGGTCATAATCATATTAAATGCTAGTGAAAAAAATTTTACTATGATTCTTACTATATTAAAAAAGGTCATAAGTTATATCAATCTTCGTTATGACCAAATGACCTATGACAGGTCATAAAGGTCATAGGCCAACACTGGTTATAAGTATGTGATTTAACAATACAGTAAAACCTCATAAATACATCTTCTATTAAGTGCACACCTCTCTAAATGCACACACAAATTTCACTTTTTCTTATTGTTCTTTAAGTGCATGCTGGTAAAATTTTGTCTCAAGAACATGCACTTATGAATTATTGAATTGTCTTTAGTAAATTAAATAAAATTGTATATAATTTTGTGACTGTATCTCCTTTGGAACTATAGGCAAAATTTTTAAAGATGTGTATTTAGGTATGGTATGCTTTTATAAAGGGCATTTTATTAAGTGCACTATATGCTTAGAACTAATGATTAGTGTGTATTTAGAGAGGGTATACATCAGGGTTGGTAAATGACTAAATTATTTGCTTATTTTTCAAATGATCTTGAAATGGTTAGTCATTTTGGGCATTTGCAAATAACTGATAACAAAATGACTGAGCTATAAGTCTAGCATCACCATTCTAAAAAAATTGTAATTTTACTAAACAAATTATTTCAGAGTTAGAGTCCTACCAAAAAGTTTATGCCTGGTTTAAAGGATCATTATCACCAAAATTTTAAAACACAATAATTTTGAAAGAATTGCATTTGACATGAAATATTGTAAAGGTATTTAAAAAACTGCACTGATATCTGAATTTTATTAAAAAATTTTGCAATATTGCAATAATAAAAAATAATCAACAAGTCATTCTGGTCATAATAGTAGTTAAGTCATCAAATTTGGACAAGTATTCACTGAAATAGCTCAAATGCAATTCTTTTAAAATATTCACAATATTTCACAATTATTTTAAAATATTTACAATATTTTAAAAGAATTGCATTTGAGCTATCTCAGCAAATACTTATCCAAATTTGATGATTTAACCACTATTATAACTGAAATAACTGCCAATTATTCTTACTATTACAATATTGCAAAGTTTTTTAATAAAATTCAGAGATCAGTACAGCTTTTTAAATTCTTTTGTAATATTTCATATCAAATACAATTTTTTTAAAATTATTGTGTTTTAAAAATTTGATGATGTAGTTGATGTTAACATGAACTATAGGTGTTTAAACTTATTTACCAAATGTTCTATTAGGTTATTTGATATTTGTCTAGATAACTTTAGCCAATCAAAATTTCTTAAAATAGTAAATCTAATTGGATAAAATTAATAAATACTTTTATATACTATTTATGCTTATAACTTTATATGGGTTTATTAACTATATAAATGACAAAATAATTTAAATAGCTCAGTCAAATTGGGGTTAAATTATATGTATAACACAAAAGAAGTTAAAAAAAATCAAACCAACAAAAAAACTGCTTATAGCCTAAAATTTTACCTATGAAAGTGCTTTTTGTATATTGACAAAGAATTTTTCTTGATAAAGTTTATTATAACTATTATCATCAAATTTTTAAAATGCAATAATTTTAAAAGAATTGCATTTGATATAAAATATTGCAGAAGAACTTAAAAAACTGCACTGCTCTGAATTTTATTAAAAAACTTTGCAATATTGTGATAATAAGAATAATCAGCAAGTCATTCTAGTCATAATAGTATTAAATCATCAAATTTGAATAAGTATTCACTAAGATAACTCAAATGCAATTCTTTTAAAATATTATAAATATTTTAAATAATTGTAAAATATTGTGAATATTTCAAAAGAATTGTATTTGAGCTATTTTAGCAAATACTTGTTTAAATTTGATGACTTAACCACCATTGTGATCAGAATGACTTGTTGATTATTTTTTGTTATTACAATATTGTAAAGTTTTTTAATAAAATTCAGATATCAGCACAGGTTTTTAAATATTTTTGCAATATTTCATATCAAATGCAATTCTTTGAAAATTATTATATTTTAAAACTTTTGTGATGTAATTTGGTTAATTTTTGTACCTAACTAAAATCTGGCATGTAATATTATACCTACCTAGAGGTGGGTCCAGTCAGTTACAGTCAGTTATTGGTCAGTTATTGGCAGTCATTGACTCATAACTGACTGATTATAGTTATTAGACCAGTTATATAACTGATTAAATAACTAGTTAATAATTGCTTAGTTATTAGCTAGGTTTGCAACAAAACTTTCTATCCATTCAAGTACTAATCAGATCTATGTGCATATTTAATCAGGATTAGTATATGGTATGATGAACTACTAAATGTAATCACAAAAAAAAAACAAAATATGTGATTTATGTAGCATCATCAATTGCATTAAATATAAAAAAAAAAATAATATTGATAACAATTATAACAATTATATATATATTTATTATATAGCGATAGTAATTTTAAATATATCAATTAGCAAATATAATTTACAAAGATGATGTGTTTAGGTTTTTTTGATGGTTACACTAGGGAAGTCCAATATGATAGCTATAACTGTGGTTGTGTTATTGATAAATTATAAAGTGAAAAACAGAATACCATAATGCAAAATAAAGTTATTCATATGTGATCTTCAAGATTACTGAATTATTCTTAAACAACTTTCATTGCACTTCTAAATCATCAGTATGAGTATTATCATTAAATTTATTAATTAATATATACTATTTTAGTTAAAATAAATTATTTTATTTACAAATATTAGAGCATGTGAGAAAATAATGTAATTAGTTATTATTATAGTAAATTATAACAAATAATGTTATAATTCATTATAATTACAACCAATTATAGAATTGGACTTATCTCTACATATAATTAATATCAAGAAAAAATAATTTAAACTAATTATTTTTTAAATCACTTATTATTGCATAATATGATAACAAACATTGTAATAAATTAATTAAATATTACTAAAATAGTATTGGTTAGGATTTTAACTAGTTGGTTACAAACCTTTGACCAACTGATATCAGTTACAGTTATAACTAGTCATTGATTAGTCATAACTGTAACCAACTCACCTTTATACCTACCCTAATTTAGAATAGGTACAAATCATGTAAGTTGGTAAGTGTCTGTAGATTTACTCACATTTGGCTTTTGAAATAATCTATAATCAGTTACTAGTCATTTAAGCATTTTATATTTATCATTCTTGGTATACATAGTGTATATTTATGAAGAGTTAACTAGAATCAGAATAGGATTGGTATCTTTGTTCAAAAAGTATAGGTTTACTACATAAATTTATCATATAATGAATAAATATTAGATGCTTTAGCATAAGCATGATTAAAAATGAATCTTAATTGGCTGATTAGGATAAACATCCTATATGAAAGTACAATCAGTTATAAAAAAAAATTTCAATGAATCAGACTATATCAAACTAAGTGTTCCAGAAGCAAGTAATTTCAGAGAACAAAATTTCTATAAAGTTCTGTTTATTATGTAATTAGGTTTCTGTAAAAAAAACTCTATGCAATTTTTGAATTTTTGGAGCTATAAAAATAATCCATAATTAGTACCTAAGCCAAAATTGAATATGTGTAGTTAGCATGATAAATACACTCTTGATAAACAGACTTTGTTTGTACTTCATACATGCCAGTTGCCAGTGGCATGCCCTTAAAGTTAAGCAAGTATCTCAGGCTCTAAGTGAGACTATCCTAGTATCACTATCAAAAAATTCACCTTTACATAATTGATTGCATATAATTGGTAGTACAAATACATTAATTACTAAAACATTGACCAAATATATGTGATTGGTTGCACTCTTATATATATGTTTTAGAGATCTGTAAATATAAAAACTCTCTTATTACTTTGGTATCTTTTGTTACCATAATAGTTTATATTCTTTTTTGTGTATATACATACATATTAATGTTAAGCAAAATAAATTCAAATCTTTTTATAATAAGTAATAACATTAATGTGCAAAAGATTGTTCAGAATGTGATAAACTTCTTTCTCTAAGTTCATTTATAATGAATTAAAAAACTTTCAGCACCTGTAATATATGTTATAGCCAAACAAAGTAATTAAACAGCAAAAAAAATTCAAAACCAAGATAAAAAATCTGATAGTAAATCGATAATTGAGTTGAGTAATTTTGATGAACATTTAATGCAAATATTTGATTCATATAAATGTAAAAATGATAACCAAGAAAATAATAATCTATCACAATTTGAATTCTCTTGTACTGTAAATATTTCTACATTGGAAAAAAATTCTAAGAGCAAGCTGATTATATTATTGATGTAATATCTAAGATTAATAATTATATGTGAATGTAAGTTAATGGATTAAAGATATTATATTAACATCAATATGTATTGCAATCTATTATATATAATACTTATAAATAATAAATATAATTTAGATATCATAATAAATATAGTTTGAAAAAGTCAAAATCAATTACTTATACTTATTATTGTTCTCAACATGATTGCTTAGCTAAAAAGCCAAAAAAACATAATGATATTAATAAGCATCATGATAGACAACAAATGGAACATTTTTCTTATAAAGAATGCATTAAAATTATTATTTCTTAAGA